TGGTCATATTGGTAGGAAGACTTAGAGGAACGCACCTAGTCCAGAGTCCATTGTATGCATAATCATTTCCGAAGTCGAACCGTGGACGTAGTACATTCCCAGACGCTTCGCCGGCATCGTCAGTGAGTTTTTCCATTCGTACAACCACATTACAACTCGTCAGAAGAGAGAAGTTAAGCCCATCCTTTGACCAAACGTGTGCTAAACAGTTGTGGTATCACCCCTTCTGCCCTGGGCTATTCACATTTCCTATATCCTCCTATAATGCCTTCCCGTGCTCATTTTTTAATCCTTCGAGCGGAATTCATGAAAACCCTTCACACTCCACGCTGTCGTTATCACCCCCTTTACCCTTGTGCTGAGAATGTAGACCAGAGTCTGTCATATTGTTACGTAGTCCTTCCCTGGGTCCTACCAGAGTCTCCCTCTTGCTCCGTAGAATCCGTCTGCTTTCTTCTTGGTATTTCATTCAACCCCTGCCCTCAAAGCGTAATTCGTCCATACCCTGCACCTGGGTGATTGATTAGAGGTTAAAGCCTCAGAGTAAGCCTCATGGTCATGCCTTTGCTACATGGGCCACGTCTCTTGTAAAACCTACTATCAACCAACTAGCTCCAATCGCCGCCTCGTCTATCCTGTCTCTATCCCTAATACCAAATCTAAGACTTGCCATGTCCTAGTCGCTTGTGTGCCAACCCACAAATATTGTGGTACTGCTGGCTTTGATTAGGTTCAATGTTGAACCACAACGTTTGTGGGTTCGCAAAATAACCGAAACAGATCTACATCGATAAAAATCAGCTTATTGCTGGCTCAAGGACCAAAACTTTTAATAACAATATGCATCTATTTTAAACAGATTAAGACGAAGAACGCATTAAGCTTCCATAAATTTACACTCTGCTTGAGTGTTGATCAAAGCAAAATCATTTTATCTGGGTATATTTCTAGTTCTTGAAGCCCATTCTGAATCTAGTCAGTCCTATTGTTAAGCTAAAAATAATTATAAAGTCAAACATTAATAAGTTATACATATATATATATGTACAATCTTATTCGAATCCCTTTGCCTCGATAGCCAATCCGACCTTAGAAGCTGTCAGGCTCGTCTTTGATTGGCCAAGCCAAAACTCAGGAATTAGGGCCAATACAAATTGGCTTAGTTTCTCTTACCTAGTGGATACATCCAACCCTCCTGAACGCATGAATCTTAAGCTAGATCAAAATATTACTGCGTTTAGCCTGGGAATTTATCTATTGCATGGACTTTCTTCTTAACTTTCAGAATCTGGAAGGGCATTTAAAACTTTCTTCTGTACAGCAATGCCATGAAATCACCTATTGGCTATCAGTGACAGAGTATATGTACCTTCTACTTCAGGAGCATAATTTGTGCTTAAATTGCATTTGTGTGAAATTCGCAGGACAGGATGCATAATGAGATGATTTGGTCAAAGTTGGTGACAGTATGATGCGGTCAACACGTTCCAGAGAGGCATCTCGAGAGCGATTGAGTCTAGTCCGCTTTTCCCCAGGTCGTAGGGCATCTCGAGGGCAGGAATGCGAGACAAAGCATCCATCTACACTGTTAGAGGGGCCGAACAAGACTATTGTCAAGGCAGGCAAGTTGACAACTGACGATCCGATGAGCAAGAGTCGGTTGACCGCTGTCGCCACTGGTATGGTGAGCACCGAGGTCAGTTACCATAGCCGCAGCGCCCGCAAATCAGCCCCCTGGCTACTGCCATTTCTGGAAGGAGGAGTCCAGGGCGATTGCAACTCTTTGCGCATTTGTGGGTCAATGAAAGAAGCAGGTTTTCAGGCTGCACAAGAAGAGGACAAGGAGGCGAAGGGGAAGAACGAAAATACCGAAATGGAGGAGACACTGGGCAAATCAACCGGGCCTTCCTTATGTCTTGAAGACGATGACATGGAAACAGAAGAACAGTTGGTCCAGCTGGCCAATAGAAAAGGGAAGGGGTCTCTGAACCGACTTTCAGCCGACCTGTCGAATTGTGCTACCAACAGGTTCAATTTGCCCTCTCTTCTCTTCTCCATTCATCAAAACCCGGAAAGTTCGCCGGGAGGAGATAGCTCTGAGGAAGATGAGCTTTCTACAAGCGCTAGACCAGGACTAGGCTCCGTCTGTAGAGCTAAGAGCGCTGGTAGCGGAGTTAGTGACAAGGGTTTGAGTGGCCTTCTGTCTGAGCATGGTTAGTTAAATCACTTGGTGATATGGCGAAACTATAGTTTCTAAATAACAGATTTTAGGTAAGTGTAGTTTACTTTGATCTTGAAGTTGTTTGCACACGTTTAATCAATTGTCAGGACAAGAAAAAGATCATTTAGTTGTTTAATCACAAAATACTTCGAGCTCAGGCTAGAATAATAAAACGTTTTAGGACCAAGATTGCTTGACCAATACGACCAAGTTAGCAAGACAACGTCAAACAAATTATATAATAGCAAAAGCCAGATGCAATAGCATTTAACCAGGTACAGGGTTTCTAATGCTAACTGATTGAGTCTTAAAACTAACCTTAAATAACATGTAACAACTCGAGATAGCTTAGGTCGCATAAGCAAATGTTAAGATTGATACTTGAATCTTTCATATTGAACTTAGTCCTATGAATCTCAGCAGCATCACCAAGTGGAGTTTGCGCTTCATGCACTAAGGTCATTACACCGTAGATTTTTGTGGAGTAATGATGACGTTATTTTGCGATGTATACATCTAGATTGTGAATAGCTGATGATACTCAGGCGTATT